GTCGAGAAGGGACTTAAAACATCCAGCGTTTGTAACCATTTGCGAGTAGAGCATTCTGGATGTGCCGTACTTCCTTTGCCTTATCTTCCTCCTCGCTAACAAGGTGTTCTGCTCTGTGTAGGAGGGTCCTCACAACTGAGCGTTTATGATGTAGATGATGGTTGGAGGTGAAATTGAGATCTTGATCCGTGTGGGTGGGTTTCCTATACACAGTTGTTTTTGTGCTCCCATCCTCATTTACATGGACACACGTGTCAAGGGAGGGTAGTTTACCGTCCTCCTCTTGCTCGCTGGTAAACTTTATGCGAGGGTTAATGCTGTTGATGTGTTGGGTAAAACTATCAATGTTGGCAGCGTGCATTTTAGTGAACGTGTCATCCACATAACGATACCAGATGTCAGGTGGGTTGGGTGCCGTAGATAGGGCAAACTTCTCGAAATATTCCATGTAAAGGTTGGCAACTATCAGTGCAGTGAAACAGGAGATCCCATGGCAGTGCCTTTGTTCTGTTTGTAAAAGTCTCCACTGTACATGAAATAGGTGGTGGTCAAACATAACTCAAGAAGCTGCGTTAGTTGGTCAACATTCTGACATCTGGTATCGTTGTGTGGATGACACGTTCACTAAAATGCACGCTGCCAACATTTATAGTTTCACCCAACACATCAACAGCATTAACCCTCCCATAAAGTTTACCAGCGAGCAAGAGGAAGACGGTAAACTATATACCCTCCCTTGACACGTGTGTCCATGTAAATGAGGATGGGAGCACAAAAACAACTGTGTATAGGAAACCCACCCACACGGATCAATATCTCAATTTCACCTCAGTAACTTCCAAATTCGCTTACATTTTAGATGTTTTTCTCTGTGTTTCACAAAATGCAAAATAAAAAAAGTATAAGCAAAGACAAAATAAGAGAAAGACAGAGAAACAAGAGCAACAGAAAGAGAAAAACTAACTCCGTGTGGCTTTGTTTGATCTTACCGAAGTGCGCTGGTAGTGTAAATTGCGCACGCGCTAATAGGGTAACTTCCAATATATATCAGGCGCACTTCCGGTTTCTTTAAATGCTAAAGGAAACGCTGTTTTTCATTAAATCCAGCCTTTTTCGACGGATTTTGATCAAAGCCAACGTTGGAAACATAGCTATGAATTCCTTTTTCGAAATCATGCTTTTTTCGGAAAATTACGAATTTTTTAATAATTTGAAATTCTCTCAAAATCTGACCTTTTAGAAATGAAACAAAATCTATGCATAGCGTAATGAGGATTTAAATTAAAATATTACATCAATGAAAAAAATCCCGATAAAGTAATTTGCCTGGGAGCCTTTGCGTTTTTTCAGTATTAGTCACATGACCATGGGCGTGGCCTGATGACGTCATCACTAGTGTTGCTGATCATGAAAAAGTTAAAACACATGAAATAACTCTTAACTAACTAAAAATTATGAGGTTACATGAAAATAAATTTTCCTTGGCAACAGCTCGAAAAAATCGATTAATGGGTCCTTAACTCAAAATGTTGACATATTTTAATTGGTGTATCACAGTTTGCGGATCGTTGACTTGTTTTAAAAAGTCACGTTTTTGTGGATAACTAGTCCGCGTTTTGAGTTTTTTAAATTATATAAATTTTTTAAGAAAATTCAGATAAAGTAGAAGTCTATTAATTCACTTGTACGGGACTAACTGATTGTCGCTTAACACCAACGAGAGATACTGGGACTCTGAGACCTGAGTTTTTCGCTGAGTTTAGTCTTTTGGAGTTCTACGTCTTACACACATATGACTCCAACTCCGTCTTTTTCTTCTGCTACGTTTTCTTCTACTTCTGCTAAATACAACTTTACAATGCACACACCTTTATCTAACTCTAGCTACGCCCGGGATTCAAGCCAACGCTAAACCAGGTCAGTGATACTGAACAAAGTCAACCTCGTTCCCAGGGTCTTTTCCCTGGCTTGGGGCCAGGGAAAAGACCCTGGGAACGAGGTTGGAACAAAGTACTCGGAAGTAAATCCTAAACGAACGCAGCTGACTTGATAAGGCGAGCGGAGATTAACCAATTGAAAATTAGAAAAATAGAATAATCTTTAGAAACAGCTAACCTTGGATCTATCCATGGTAGGTAGAAGCTAAAGTCGCAAGAACGACACAAACAGTTACACGGGTGAACTTCCGAACACCAAGTTCTAGAGTGAAACGTTTCCAAGGCAAACGGAAGAGACGTTCAAGAATTGAGTGTTCCACAGTATGTAAGTTAAGCTTGGCTTACAAAACTAAGCTTTCTTAAAACATAATTTCAAAATATTTGGCTCTATAACACACTATATAGTGTTTTAAACTGGGTAACCGCTTTTATTAGTTGGTTCAACCACGAAACCGTTGAAAAGCGTGCAAAATTTACGATCGAAACTAACCAATCAACAAATGCCAAAGTTTCCTGAGAGGTTCGAAACACTTCGTACTTTGTTGGGTTTACAATTTTGTTAAGAACTATTGTTCGAGAGAGATCTTTTCCAAGCGGCCCGGTTCGAGTAGCTCTACTGTAATAGGAACAGAACAGCACTATCATTTTCTAAAACTTTATTCTTGAACACAGTATTTGACGGCTGGGTTTGTCCTTCTAAACAGAGTTCACAACGTAAGGCGTCTTCTCGTAAGCAGGGTAGCAAAATGAAGAGATTTAGTCGGGGTTTGAATTGCCTAAAGGCCTAAGTTGGCTCCACTTCACCTGAGCCTCCGTTAGAAACCTGTCATATAATGAATGAAGTTTCCTTTTTTTGTGCCAACGTAAATATTGACATATGGTCCACATGGTCAATTTCACAAAGTGTCTTTTTAAAGTAGATTTTACTCTGCGTCCACCCTGATTGGCTAAATACCGGTTTTGCTTGTACTGAGCTGTATAAACACGGAAAACGAAAAAAAAAAAAAACTGAGTACTTTGTTTTGCGAGCTTGCCATTAACCCCACGAGGATGCCACGTTAATTCGTATTCCACCATAAAACACTTCAGCCTTTTAAAGAAACCTGAGAAATGCAGAAAACACTTGCCTAAGGCTCACATTTTCTAAATTTCCCTTCTGCTGTCAAATTTCCGTCATACATGCCTAATGTCTGTATTTGATGTATTTCACATGGTGAACACGACGTTGGTTTGTTCATCTGCGTTAAATAAGTACTTTTTTTTCTATTCTTAATATCCTCTGATTGGCGTAAGAGATAAAAGAGGTCAAAGGCGTGCATTATGCTGTCATTATCAATTGTGAGCACTTAAGATAATTTACAAAACGCGAGCAGAAATGTCGTTTTAAATCTATCGTGACGTTTTGGGTTCTCAAACGTGGCTTAGTTTTATGGCAGGACAACACATGATCCTAGCGTTTTTATTTTGTTAAAGAAGTCTTCAACCACAGCAACTTAACTACTCTTTATAAGAATCAGTATCCAAGACCGGTAAGTGAAAAGAGTTTTAATATTTCTTACGTTTGACCCATGAACAGACTGATATTTTTTTTCGGTTATTGAAACTAGAAATTTTATAAATTCTGCCAAAATCTTTCTTTTCAACTTTTCAATGCTGCCTATTGTGCGGAAACGATCGAAATGCCCATCCTTCTTCTTTGTATTAAAAAGTTAAGTCCACAAGTTTGAAAGTGTGAAATTTTCAGGGCGGCTCCTGAGCGAAACCCCATGAGATTATATCTTTTACATTATTACATAACGCAGATCGTGTTATTTTTTTTCCTATTTGATACGATTGTGAGACCCAAATTGCGTCAACGGAATTTCCTCAAAGTCGATTAATGCAATTAAGTGATGAGAGATACTTTGTATCTCATCGACAAATTCGTTTTGTTTGGCGTTAAAGCTATCAAGAGTATTAACACATTAAGAAATGAAAGGCAGACACATGATACATGCAAACACCGCGACCACTGCATCAACAGAAAATTAATATGGCACTTAGTAGGTAGACTATTCACAGTCCTCTATTTTCTCGCATTTTTATTTGATCATTGAATACTGAGAATCGCGAGAGAACTGGACGCCAGCGCAAAACGGGATACTTCTTTGGAGGGGTGCACCACTAAAGAATGGTGTAACTGACTAGTGAGGTAAACAAACTTTAAAAGCGAATACGAACAAGAAGAAGACTTCATCTCGGGGGGGGGGGGATGCGTACCCCCTGCACCCTCTCCCTCGGTCGGCCCCTGCATGTGGTTCGGGTTCGTTCGAAAAGTGTAGGACTCCAACGAAGTTAATCAGCTCAGTTTCATGCGTTTTGTTTTGAAGGCAATCAGAAAATAGTGATAAAAAACGAAAGACAACGAACGATGTACGACGCTATTTTTAAACAATGTCCCACTCCCGAGCCATAGTTAATAAAGGAAAATGGTTAGGAAGGCCGGTAAACATCACAGAAGCAAACAAACAGACTATGCATGAATTACATAATCGCAATTCTTCTGTTGGTTAGTCCACCTTTTGTATTTTGCCAGGTTTTGTGCAGGGTCAACCCCCAAAATAGCAAACAAAAACAAACAACAAACTTTGCTAAGTTTCCAAACCATTTCCCTCGTACCACCTCGTACTATGTCCGGGCTGATCAGTTATAGCAAACATCCTCGGGCCTACCCTGGGGCCGGAAAGGTTGTCAAGGGCCAATGCCCGACGATTGTCTGGGGAGTGGGCGGGCTTGGAATTGATAAAGCCATAGCATTAATTAATTATTTATTTCAATTCCAAAAAGAATCATAATCATAATAATAATAATAATAATAATAATAATAATAATAATAATAATAATAATAATAATAATAATAATAAAAACATTCTTCCCTTGTGATTTAGCTACAGAATCACTATAGAAAGTTCATGAAACAGCGTTCCAATACTCTCATACCCAGCTCTCGCTCTGTTTGAGATAATTATCTCGACTCGACATTGTTTTCGTCAAAAGTTTGTCACCCCTAAATATCACATTCTATTTTTGTAAGGCCATCAAAAACGCGCAAAAACTTCCCGTTTTCGATGTCACGCTCTGTCACGCGACTGTGTGACGTGACGGTAACAACTGGATTTCAGACTCTCTCGGTCAGTCAGACAGTGCGCTTCAGTGGGCCATGTCGGCCGATGGCACATACTGCTCTAATTCAAAGCGTTATTGTCTATGTTTGATAGGGCGAAAAATATGATTTGGACGGTTGTTAAAAGGAACAGATTCATATTGCTCTTCATTGCCGTGCTAAGCCCGCTTATGTACCATTTTCTGCTGGAGAGAGATCGTAAGTATTTGCACTCCACATTGGTTTTTTGTGTGTCATTGTGTGCTTACATATTGTTTCTTCATCTTTCGTTATCCTCGGGGAATACCTAATCTATTCTACTTGTCATACAGTAAACTTTGCACTAGATAAGTAAGAAAATAACTGGATACTGACGAAAAGGAACACGAACGGAAATTTCACGAGCACTACTTAGCTAAACTTAGTGCTCTGTCACCAGACCGATCTAACATGTCATCTACGCGCCGGCTGTGGCCGTATGTAACAATTTTCGCTAGCACCCACCGTTTTATTCGATTCGTCACGTTCATGTAGACATGATGTAGAATGCTTTAGAAGTAGTTCGACTGTGTCCAAACATAGCCTTAAGGCATGACATCAGAACTATGTTGCTGAACTCGTTTTACTTGTAATCGGCGTACAACCGTGTTCGTTTGTTTGCGATGTTTTTGTTTTCGATACGATAGAACTTCGCTAGCCATACAAAAACTTTGAGAGCATCAGGAATTTTCCACTTATCGCATAAATATTTGAAGCTTGGAAAATTAACCCTAAATATTGCACTTGCTTTGGTGTCGTGATGACCGAGTTTAAAACAACAGTCCCTTTGTTAGCGAAGGTTAACCGAATTCTATCTAACTGGTAAGTTCTCAGGCGGAAAGAAAATTTTTATTTTAAAAGCTTTTAATTTAGACACCTGCCCCGAGGCGTAAGCTTGACTGTGACGAGCAACACAATGAAAAAACGTCTGCATGTTAATTTTGAATAGGATGTGGAAATCAAGTGAACATAAATTGTTTTCGTCGGTCACGGAAGTAAAATTTGAGGTCTAAAATTTCATAAACTTCCCCTTTTGAAATCCATATAGTTTTCTTTCGGAATGATTCTAACATTGAACTTGTGGTTTCGTACTTAACCATGCATGAATTTTTTATTTCATGTAGAAGCTTACTTGCAGAAACTTCACAGCCAATTGACTCTTTTATAAATGGTCCTAGATTAGGTGGTGTCTAAGGCAAGTAATTAAATTGTGGACAGAGAAACACGCTCAATCATAGAAGGTTCGAGTGACGTTTATTGCCACGTAGATCTAGAAATGCTAATTCATCTTAGCTACCAAGGAAAGTAATTTATACAAAAATAACATCAATTTATATATTGGCCGGTACTGCAGGTGATTACTTCTACATGTAAATTGGCACCTCAGGTTCCATGGCAACTAGAAATACTACCATTTTCGAGCTACCTTGAACGGCCAACTTGAGCTACTGTGAACGTGCAGAAACATTCAGGCGGAGCTGTCAAAACTTGACATGTTCACGCTCTAAACGTTAAAATTGGTTCACATAAAAAACGTGACAGTTTGTATAGACAAACTTGAACGTTTTAATCGTGGAACAACGCGGAAAAAAATTGGCCGTTCATGGTAGCTTGAAAATGGTAGTAAATCCAACAGGTCATGAAAGCCATATGAAATAAATTTCCACCACAAAAAATAATGATAATGATGATAATATTAAAGTAAAAATAAAAATTCCATGGAACTTTCTTGTAACATTTTTTCTAGAATCATCCTGGGCCGAGTTGTTCAAAAGCCGGTTCATGTTAACCCAGGATTAAACGTTAACTGAAGTATTATATTTTCTTGTTTAAAAACATTTTTCACCCCTTATATCTGGTGTAGTTTGAGATTACTACAGCTCAAAACTGAAGGGCAAACAATATAAACAGAACTCCTCAACAAAAAGTGACAAAACTGAAATCAAAATTCTCGCTAATCCTGGGTTAGCTTAATCGGGCTTTGAACAACTCGGCCCAGGAGTCTGGATACAGACTGAATCACCTGGTAACCATTAGCCCCTGGATACTAAGGATTTAGTGTTTGAAGCATATGTAACACCTATTTTGGCTGATTTTTGCATTTTCTGGGGGAAAAGTTTTGGATATTCACACATTTTTGTGGCTGAATTGGTAGAAATATTCTACCTTTTTAGGATCCAGAAGGTAGAATTGTGATTTTGATTCCTTTGGTTGATATCTCTATTATAATAGAATTCATATACATTTTCCCCATTGAGTTATTCAGGCATATAAGTGATTGGGTGGGCCTTTTTAGGGTTTAAGTTTATGATTGAAGGACTTCTCAAGTGAAATGTATTTTGGTAAGGATTTTTTTTTTATGTATTTTAGCGCAAAAGAACCCCCTCCCTCCCCAGAAAACGTAATGACTTAGGTTTGAAACAATCGTTTCTGAAAATACAATTGTCAAGGAGACTCTCCCACTCTTAAAGAATGAAAAACAGTCTGCCTTAAGTTTGTGGGAAATGTTTACATGTCATTCAATTTTAATAAATTACTAAATAAAGAAAGGTGATTGAAAAACCTTTCTTAAATTCTCTTTAGGGTTTTGTCATTTTAGCTGCTTTTCCATTATGCAATAAAATGGACTTTTCTTTTTCTGAGCTAATTAGGTCTGCTTTAGCCAATAGGACTTGTTGGGATGGTCAAATAATCAATATATTTGAGTGTCTCAGTGGGAACTAACTCACAAGGTCTGTGAGTCATTCTATAGGAAATACATATATTATCATTTATTTTGCTTGTCATGCTTTGATCAGTTGGAGAGATAAGAACTTTAATGCACGAACAAAGCCACGTGATCAGCTGAGGAAGATTAGTATAGGTAATCGCATGGGGCCGAGTAAAATTAAGGATTAATATCACGCGTGTTTTCAGAAGTTGCTGAAATTGCCCGAGTCGTGCAGCGACGAGGGCAATTTTAGCAACTTCTGAAAACACAAGTGATATTAATCCTTAATTTTACAAGGACCCATTGCGATTACTTGTTAATGAAATAGAGGGGAAAATTACTGAATTTCTGAATGCACTCTTGAGTAATCGGTCATAGGAAGCCATTTAATGCTGACAAAGAATCAATCACCACAAACGCACGAATGTGCTGAATGAAATTTTATTTTTGCGCAAAGATACCAGGACATTGACAACCAGGCCTGCTAACAAACTTTCAACTTTGAAAATATAAAGTTAGTGCTTTTT